TAATTCTTACTTTTTTTGTAATATTTGATTGATGTTTTTTATATTTCACACCTCATTCCGGGTTAACGGAGACGATAACCGTTGTCTTGTTTGATGAACTCCAATGCAGTACCGTGTTGCGCCATTTTTTCCACCGGATCTCGTTCCGATGTTCGTTTGTTCAGCATGGGTTTGTTTTGTTGTTGTTTGTTCTAGGAGGAAATGGTACGAGAACCCAAACCGTTGAGAAAAAACCGGAGAACACGGATTTCGCGGCTATATTTTGCTTTTGAGTCGAGAATGGCGAAAGGCCGTGAACGGACTAGCGGGTGGAAAGAGATAAAAACGCAGTGAACGCAAGAGTCGACGGGTGCGATCATACCAGCACTAATGCACCGGATCCCATCAGAACTCCGCAGTTAAGCGTGCTTGGGCGAGAGTAGTACTAGGATGGGTGACCTCCTGGGAAGTTCTCGTGTTGCACCCCTTTTTCTTTTCCTTTTGTCGTCGCATCTCGTTTCGATGTTCTGTCCGCACAAGGTTTGTTACCTCCAAATAATTCTTACTTTTTTTGTAATATTTGATTGATGTTTTTTATATTTCACACCTCATTCCGGGTTAACGGAGACGATAACCGTTGTCTTGTTTGATGAACTCCAATGCAGTACCGTGTTGCGCCATTTTTTCCACCGGATCTCGTTCCGATGTTCGTTTGTTCAGCATGGGTTTGTTTTGTTGTTGTTTGTTCTAGGAGGAAATGGTACGAGAACCAAACTGTTGAGAAAAAACCGGAGAACACGGATTTCGCGGCTATTTTTGCTTTTGAGTCGAGAATGGCGAAAGGCCGTGAACGGACTAGCGGGTGGAAAGAGATAAAAACGCAGTAAACGCAAGAGTCGACGGGTGCGATCATACCAGCACTAATGCACCGGATCCCATCAGAACTCCGCAGCCAAGCGTGCTTGGGCGAGAGTAGTTCTAGGATGGGTGACCTCCTGGGAAGTCCTCGTGTTGCACCCTTTTTTCTTTTCCTTTTGTCGTCGCATCTCGTTTCGATGTTCTGTCCGCACAAGGTTTGTTATCTCCAAATAATTTTTACTTTTTTTGTAATTTTTGATTGATGTTTTTAATATTTCACACCTCATTTCGGGTTAACGGAGACGATAACCATTGTCTTGTTTGATGAGTTCTAATGCAGTACCGTGTTGCGCCATTTTTTCTACCGGATCTCGTTCCGATTTTCGTTTGTTCAGCATGGGTTTGTTTTGTTGTTGTTTGTTCTAGGAAATGGTACGAGAACCAAACCGCTGAGAAAAAACCGATTTAGTTTACATTTATTTACTGTCCAAATTTACTGTCCAAATTTAGTTTACATTTATTTCATAAAACTTTAATTATTAGACTTTGTTATATTAAAATCGATTTTTTCTTTCCATTTCAAGTTCATAAAGTATTTTGATATTTAGATTACAGACATTTATCGAACAAAATTGATTACTAAAAATACGTAGGAGCACGAATTTAGTTGCAAGTTCAAAGCTTTTATCATATGAAATTTTATAATGAATAGTATTTTAAAAAAACTGTCATCCATAAAGCAAAATATCAAAATATGTTACGGCAATCAATCAAACTCGTATTTTTCTACATAAAAAATAGAAATTTCATACAAAATAGGAGTTTTTTTTAAGTGGGAGAACTGCCAGAGAAATTCGGGTTCCTTCACTCGCCTCCTAGAGTCTATTGACAAAGAAAACAACGACTCCGATGATTCCTCTATCAAAAAGTCCCTCCCTTTTTCTCCATCCTGATCACCCGTTTCTTCGAACCCTTCAAACGCCAAATCTTTCAAACTACGATGAGTTCTTGAACGGTTTTGAGACACATCAGTTGATTCGGGTACTACTGATTGGCTTCCCTTGTGCTCACTTGACTCGCGTACTACTCGGGCTATTTGTCTTTCCTCGCCACTTTTTTCGCCTTCTTTCCCTCCATCCTGCTTTATCAACCCATCGGAAATCACCTCAACAGGCAATCCCTCGAACAGATTTACATTCCCAGTGACACGTCTTTCTTCGGGTTTTACTCTAAGCAAGAGAGAATTCACCTCATTATAACACATCTAATAAGCCAAAAAAACTCAAGTAATGAATAGTAAAAGACCCGCCATTGAAGTTGGGAAAGCGTTTCTCATGTTATTTGATTTATATGAAGAACATGCCTATTTAAACAACAAATACGATCAGAACCAAACTAAACCGAATTAAACCAGCCTAAACCGGTCTCTCTCTACGGAATATATTGAGTTCGGGAGAATTCAAAGATGGGTCGAGTAAAACTTTCTGTCGATCGGGGTATTTGATTCAAATGAAGAAACTTTGTGTTTATACAACCGAAATGGCCTTAAACCAAACTAAACCGGCCTCGCTAAACCGCACAGAATCTCAAGGAAAGATGAGAGAATCTTACCCAGATGTTGCAGTTGTTTCACTTGTCGTCTGAACAGGTTTTTGATTCTCCAGCTCCTTGGCTTGAACAAAAACTTCATGGTCTCCACGTCTCTGCAAAATCCCAAATTCAAAATCTCTGGACATTAGAAATGGATAATCTGAGATTATACCCAGAAACGATTTTAGAGCAAAAAAAAGAAAATGCTTACTGGGTCCGTGGAAGAGGTGGATTTGATGAACAATCTGCGTTTCTTGTGCTTGGAGGCAGAGAAACAAGAGAGGAGACAGGACATGATTATATGGGTACGAAGAAGAAGTGATTCAACATATATAAAAATACTTAACTAGAGTCCAAACAGATATTAGTATATTATTTCCATTAGATTTATGTAATATAAATAAGCAAATAAAAAATCAGGTTAAAACTTATGAAAAATAGGGGTTTAGTGATTAGTTTGCATTTTTTTTTTGAGTATTTACCAAAAGATGTATAATCAATGTTATATGGGCCTGTAAAAGCCCAGTTTTATGTGGGCCAATATCCACATAGTATTAGCCCTGTTCTCATGGGCAATAATGCATATGGGCTTGATATCAATATGTGTGTATATATGTATATATTGATGGAAATTAATTACAAAATTAAATTTAAAAAAAAACAGCAATATGATTCAGGTTCTCCACTTGGAAAATGCAAGTGGGAGGAGCATCAGCATCAATCATGAAGGTCAACCTTTAAACACAAGGTATCTTCTTTCTATTCTATTTTCTGTATAATCTATTTATTCTTTATTATGTCTGTTTACTTTCTTTCTTTTTTGCCTTAAAAGAAACAATTTATACATCTCTCTCTCTCTATATATATATATATATATATGTATATGTCTATTTGACTCAAACCACAACTCTTTTTTGCCACTTTGATTTTTTTTAAAATATAATAAATCCCATCCGTTTCCTTGTTTTAGTGGAAATCATTAGAGCATATAATAACACTATCACCACTCCCTATCTTTCCATACTTAAATATATTTATGTAGATATGTGCATTTTTCTATATCTATATGTATGAATGTAGAGTTATATGTATTCAATATTTGGAAAAAGAAAAAAAAAAAGACACTAATTTATTAATTAATTAAAGCGGTGGCCTCTTTTGACTTGAGAGTTGGAGATAGCTGGTCTCACATTTTTATTTTATAAAAATAGGGTTTAGTGACAAACGACTTTGCCCATTACATAATAGTGGGAAATAAAATCATATAGAAAATGTATTCAGAAACAAAACAAAAAGTCAATAATCCCGAAATCAATTTTAAAAAAAGGTTATAGCTAATGAATATCTTTATTTTGTGTTGGTAACTATAAAATGATAAAAAAAAAAAAAAGCATAAGAGCAGCCCGGTTGGATAAATATTTAATTATATTCATATATACATATATGGGTTCCAAATCTTGATTTTATAATCTTCAAGTTTCAGCATTTAGATAATTTTTCCATAAAGTTTTCAAATCATCTAAATACATACACAAGATACGGTATAATACAAAATCGATCACAAGCAATTTCCAATAAAATAATATAATTTTCATTTATAAAGTCCATACAATCTCACCTATTTTAAGATCGAAAACAACATTTGAATTCTATTAGGTAAAAGAAAATTTCAAGAGAAAGGACTTTTTCATATGATGCAACGGTTCAACCTGCGCCCATTTTCACAACTTTTTCGCCCTTTTTTTGGTTCTCTCTTGAAATTAAAAAAAAAAAAGAAAAAGAAAAAAGAAACCAAACAAAGGAATCTGTCCCCAGAGTAGGCCCCATCCTATCGTTGACTAATCTGAAGACGACAGGTCACATTCATCCACCCCCACCACCCCCACGATGAACGGCCCCGATCTCCTGTCGGTCCATCCACTCAATCTCCACCGCACGATCCGCATTTTGTCTTTTTTCTCTCTCTCACCCCCCAAAAACACTAATATATATATATATATAGTAATAATTATTTAAATTTATATATGCTTTTTTTTTCAAGAGGACTCGAGAACCATGGCGGTAGAGGCGTCGGATACGATGAGTGCATGGCTATGGTCTCCTTCGTACGTAACGATCAACATCATTGGATCGTCCAATGCACGCTCCACGTGCTTACGTGCCGGACACCCTCTCACGCTGCTGCATTTGTAATATCCCCTGTGGAAAAAAAAATCACACGGCCGAGTCAGGTCCCGAGTCGATAATCATACTGTGTCAACTCGGTTCTAGGGTTTGATTTCGATTTGTCTATGGTGGGTACAAGTCAAAAAGTGCGACTGATATTAGACGACACGTTTGGTACAACCAATACACGCAGATTATTAGTTTTGGAAATAAAAAATATTGGGAAGCGCAAGTGGTCCAATTGATAAATTTTTTCGCTTAATTCTACCCACGGGACAAGATTTTGATATCAGGGAATATGTTTTGTATATGATGTGGTTAAATTAATATGATTAATAAGGGGTGAAAAGATTTGAATGGAGTGTGGATGGAACTGAGTCAGAGAACGAGCTGAGGACCGAGTTAACTCACCGTGGATGAGGGGAGCCTTTGATGGGTTTCTGGCCGTATTTTCTCCAGGAGTAGTCGTCAGGTGGAATATCAGCCATTTTGCTGCTTATTGCAGGGACCCTAATCACTCTCTTCACCCTAGATTTCCTGTGATTATTACCAAATAAAAAACGATTTTATCAGTAAATCTAGATTAGATCGACAAAACCCAGATGAGATTTTATCCCCAAAACCGCAAATTAAGAAACTTTTTTCAAAGATCCGGAATTTGGACCGACCTTTTCTTGGAGCAATGGCAACGACCAGAGGATGAGCCGCACTTGAGAGCAGCTTCGTCCAAGGAACTGCACCTTCTCTTCAACGAAGACGAAGAGAGAGGAGGCTTTCCGCAGGAGCCCGAGACATGAGACGGGTTCGTGAACTGAAACCCAGAAGACGACATGGACATCTGGATACTGTCGGAATCCCCTGTAAGAGACGACATGAACGAGTTCGCCGCCGAGATCGGAGGAGATGGCGCGAAGTTTATCGTCGTTGACGGTCCCTCGTTCCTGTCCGTCAACCCTGTTTTGCTGTTCGCAAGCAACAGAGAAGGTTGGGAAGATGATGAAGGACCACCAACAATACCGTTGTTGCTCTTGGAGTGCGGTAATGGCGGAAGACGATGAACAGGAGTCGGACAATAAACCCTAAACGCAGATCCACCGCCGACAACATGCTCAGTTTTCGGCTCTGTTTTCAAGTTGTTGAACCCTTTGAAGGAAACGGAGGGTCCTGCCGCTTCCGCAACCTT